TTATGGGGGACTTTATCTTTTTTATTATTTTAACATTTATTTTATTTAATTTTATTTTTTTTAAAACTTTTTTAACTTTATTTAATTGCTCTCACATAGGGGGCTCACAAGCCCAAATGACTAACCACATACACTGTACGTGATCAGCTATTTGGAGCTTTTAAAAATCGTTAAAGGAGAACTATGGGGTTAAGGCTTTTCCTCATAGTTTTCCTTAGGGTAACGGGAGGACACAAACTAGCGTACATAGACTAAAAAAAGTGTAAACAAATAAAAATAATTAAATTAAAAAAAATGTTATATAGAAATATAGATTAATCCTATAATTGTTATACAAAATGCAGACTTGTTTTCCACCGTCAGGGGTTTTAACCCCCTTCATGACTGAGGCCTTTTTTTAATTTTTTGCACCCATGTTATATTCCACATTTTAGGTCTGGAAATTACTTAAAACCCCCCAAACATTATATATTTTCTGAAAGCCAAGACCCAATAGAATAAAAAGGTGGTAGTTGAAAATGTATATGTTGCACGATATTAGCACAACCCCTTATCAAACCCCAAAAGTTAGTGAAACATGTACTTAAATGCCCCGAAACACAATAAAATACAATTTTTTTAAAAACAATATAAAAGTTGAGGTTACGAGTAAATAGATACCCAACACACCAAGGTTAAAAATTCAGTACCTCAAAAAGTCCATAGACGACGCTTTAAAAGCCCCACAGGTCATCAATTTAGAGATACCCAAAAATACTGGCCCTAGAATTATTGCTGTCACTACGGCGTGCGCTTATGTGGCGGCGCACATGCTCGTGAGGGCGGGGGACTTTAAATGTTTTACAATTATTTTTAGATTTATTTTATTTAATTTTAAAAACTGTTATTTTTTTAAACTTTACTTTGATTGCTATCACATAGGGGGACTTACAAGCCCCCCATGTGATAGCAGATGGTGGTGACAGGTACTCTTTAAGGTGATGCTGGGGGTCCAAAAGACCCCCAGTGTCACCTTTACACTACAAATAAGCTATTGAAGTGTAGATCACACTTCAATAGCTTATAGCTGGGCTTCAGGAGCCCGGAACTGACAGCTCTGGGACCGGAAGTGCTGCAATCTGCATCGCTCCCGGTCCCATAGAACAGGGAGGGGATCGACGAATGGAGGTTCGTCCATCTCCTCCCCAGCTTCCCGCTGACACCAGAAAAGCCGAGGGGCAATGGAGCCCAGGAAGCACGGTGGGGGTGTGGGGCGGGGGACGACACCCCTTCACTGGGCCATAGAAGCGATCTGACGACAGCTGATTTGCCCGAATCGCTTCTATTGTAAAGCCGACAGTCGGCTTTACAAGTTTAAACAGAGTCCCTGCGGCAAAAGCCCCGATGCTGGCGACGTACACTGTACGTCGTCAGTCGTGAAGGGGTTAAATTTATTATTTTGCGCTCCATAAGGCGCACCGGACCATAGGACGCAGGGAGGTCCGGTGCGCCTTATGGAGCACTGAACAGACCGGAGCTTCTGTCACAGCTTCTGTGACAGAAGCTGCAGTTAGTGACCGCTGAGACAGGTGGCGCTGGGATTACAGCGCCACGGTCTCAGTGATCACACAGAGCAGACGAAGAACGTCTGTTCTTCGTCTGCTCTATGGTGATCTCGATCGCCGCCGCTGCTCGGTTTTAATACGAGTGATCTAGTTAGATCACTCGTATTAAACGAGCAGTGGCTCCTACTGTACATTTAGCTCTGCTTTAGCAGGGCTAAATGTACAAAAAACTACCCCCGGCGCCCGAAACTGCATGTCTCGGGCGTCGGGCGATAGGGATTAGCTCCATAAGACGCAGGCACATTTTCCTCCGCCTTTTGGGGGGGAAAAAGTGCGTCTTATGGAGCGAAAAATATGGTATTTATTTCCTGTGGTTGAATTTGATGGACATGTATGTTTATTTCAACCGAACTATGCAAGTATGCCACTATGTGAATCTTGACTAACCTGTTCATTGGCGCCATTCAGTGCATGATCTTCCTGGCCAGGTAAAGCTCCAACTATATCCGCTGCTATCCCATTAATGGACGCCTCCTGATGAAACTGAGCCATGGTCAGGACCACTGAGCCTCCTCCTGTAAAAGCAAGCAGTGCAGTCATTGACAGGACATTGAAAGCATTTAGCAATATCAGTCACCAGAATCTGATGTGCCGCCTTGGCTCAACTTTAAGCTTATTTACTAAAATGTTGGGAAAAAATAGCGGTCTGTATTGCCCACTGCGACTATACAAAGTCATATAGTCATTATGGACTTGTCGTTTTCCACTGCAGGTTCGCATCTACATGGCTGCTCAACATGGACAATCCCTATGTGAGACACATTGATAAATGAAGCCCTTTAATTGCAGCAAAAATATAACAGATATAACAACAGTTTTGTATTCTATGTAATCAGAAAATGATCTCTTATTTCGTTATTGATATCAAAAATGGTAACAGCATTCATTCTGTAGTCAAGGGTTTGGAGAACCCTCATCTCCCTGCTCCTATAATCTGCTCACTGCTTCTGCTGGTCTATATGGCTTAAAGGAGAACTATGAGGCGAGTGATTCTCACTCATCCTCATAGTTCGAGCCGACGTGTGGCAATGAAACTGTCACATGTCGGCTCAGTAGATCGGGAAGTGAGGGAACACATACCGCCGCTCGCTCACTTCTCGATCCTGTCCCTGCAGAGAGCCGTGACTGTCACTCACTGCTCCCTGCAGGGATTCCCCCCTCAACCCGCTCCTATCCTCCAGCGCTGACTGGCGGAATGGACGGGGGCGGGTACAGCTGACTCTGTCTCTAGATAGGCAGAGCCAGCTGTCAATCAGGCAGCTGGGTGGATCTCGACAGTAATGTCGTGATCCGTCCCGGCTGCGGCGGTCTCAGTATACCGCGAGCTGTATACTGAGCTTTGGGTGACGGGAGGACGCTAGTTTATGTTCTACCGTGACCCTGAGGAGAACTATGGGGAAAAAGCACTGACCCCATAGTTCTCCTTTAATGCTCACATGAAATTCACAAGTAATGCTCCATAATAGAGATGGGCTCGATGATCGAGTCGAATGTAAGTTCAACTCGAACATCGACAATTTGTGTGGTCGGTGAACACACGAACGGTCAGGGCGTTCGGTGGGCTGTTCGCTCTGTGCCTTGTGAGCCCTGATTGGCTTAAGCCTTGCACCTGACCACCATCTTTGCCCAATCAGGGCCCAGTTCTCTGTAAAGGTGCCCATACACTGTACGATTATCGTACGAGAATCGCGGGAAATCCCGCGAACGTACGATAATCGCAAAGTGTATGGAAGGCGTACGTTTCTACTGTACGTTTCTATTGTACGATTGCACGTCTTCCGTCGAACAAGTGGCGTGCTTGTTCGACAACTGCCGAACGGGCCGGCTGTGCTCACGCACGCACTGCCCGTTCAGCATTGCAGCCATCAGAAGCCCGCCCCTCTGCGGGGCGGGCTTGCGATGATCGCAAGTACGATCTGCCTGTCCAAGATGAGCAGATCGTACGTTTTTTAAATTACTTTACAACACTCGCAAGACAAAAGTCTTGTGAGGGTTGTACAGTGTATGGGCACCTTAAGAGCCATGTTTGGGCAAAGTCATGATGACTCTGCCCGATCATGGCTCACCTGTTACGACTGTAAACAGTTGGGCGGAGCTAGCTGTCACTGCTAGCTTTGCCCAATTGTTTATATGTTGCCAGCATCTGTTAAAATGCCATTCTGCGGCGGAAGTTCGTCGCAAGCGGACAGGACGGCAGTCGTTTAAAAAAAAATTATTTTATGGAAATCAGAGGAAATCTTCCTCTCACCAGAAGTTCCGGTATTGGAGAAGGTATCGAGCATTTGGGGGTGTACAAGTACTTGCCCAAATACTCTGTATCTGTGCATCCCTAATCAAAACTGTATTGGTCTGTGCTAAATAGCGCTTCTCATTGGTCAGCGTGGTCCCCAGACCACGCTGACCAATGAGTGCTTGCAATTTGCGAGCGAAATTCAAAATGCATAGGGCAGGACTGCGCTGGACAGTACAGGGTAAGGACAGTACACCTGTACCGGCGGGGGGTAAGGACTGGTTGCAGAAAGGTGAGTTTAACCGGGGGGTGGGAGGTTTTGGGAGAGCCGGGGGCCAGATTTGATCAGGTAATTCAATTTTCCCATATTTCCTGGGAAAGTGAACTTGCCCTTTAATGCACATTGTGCGTGTGGGAGAGTTCTGCTGCCTCGCTACCACAATATGGCACAGTGAAATCGCGTCAGCACTCAACGCACACACACAATGTCCTATGCGTGCGTTTATTTGCATGCAGATGGCGGGGGCAGCGGGGTTAGTTTTCATTTTTTTTTTTACATTGTCACTTTTTGTTTAAATATATTTAATTATTTTTTACTTTTTCATAACTTTTTTTTATTTTTTTATCCCTCCACCTAATTTTATTCCTATCACATAGGGATTTAAAATCCTCTAAGTGATAGTTTGGAGGTGACAGGTTCTCTTTATGGAACCTGCCCTCCAACACAGAACAGATGTTCTGTGTAGTTCCTAACAGCTGAGACAGGTGGCGCCACGGTCTCAGTGATGTAGAAAAAAATAGCTCACCAGCACTCAAAATAATTTAAATGAATAAGTCCTTTTTATTGGACGATTGTGTCACGATAATCAGGCTCTTTTTGATTATCGTGACACAATCGTCCAATAAAAAGGACTTACCGTATTCATTTAAATTATTTTGAGTGCTGGTGACCTATTTTTTCTACTTTGTGTTTTGCACGGTGCCATCCGTGGTAGTCACTACAAGCACCATATTTGTTTATTGGCTGGGACTGCTGAAAGGTGTGCGGAGAGCACCCCCACCAACTGCAACGGTCTCAGTGATAACACAGAGCAGATGAAAAACAGACATTTTTCGTGTGCTCTGCGGGCTCTATGGTGAGCTCATGTTCTGTGGTCTCGGGTCCACCGGAGGAGCAGGGGACCCCGAAAACCACGGGGGGGTGTGTGGTTGTGGGCGGTGTGGACAGAATTGCCGCTTCTTGTTTCATACAAGTGATCAAATCACTTAAAAACAAGCGGCGCCTCCACACTGTACACTTAGCTCTGCTTGTCCAGAGCGGGGCTAAGTGTACAAAAAAACTACTCGCCCGGCGCCCAAAACTTCATGTCCCATGCTTCGGGCGATAGGAATTCCACACCCCTGCCCGGGGCTTGTGGAGAAGAGGCCCTTGTCCCCATCGGCATGGGGACAAGGTGCTTTTCTATAGGAGACCCTGGAAAAGCAGCCTCCCAAGGCCGAGGGCATGTGGCCTGGTATGGGAGGAAAATTGTAGAAATGTCACCAGCACACCAGTCCTTTTAAGATTGATTGTATTGAAGTTTTTTGTCATATGACCAAACAAGCGCTTTCCGGACCGCACAGGGTCCCTTCATCAGGCTTAGGCATTGACAATTGTACGGTGATCACTCATCCCCCCTTCCCCCCTGAGGAATTATCACTCATCCCCCCTTCCCCCCTGAGGAATTATCACTCATCCCCCCTTTCCTGCCAAAAAAAGTCAGTTTTGCTGCAGCAGGTTGTATACATTGTACAGATCCATCACTTCACAGGCAGTTTAAGGGGACCCCCCAGGCATGATATTTAAAGGATGTTTTCATTTTTATTGTTTCACTGTTTCTCCTTTAAAAATTTAATTTTTTTTAAATATTTTTTTTCATTGATTCCTATCCCCCAGGGCAGTACCCGAGTCCCAATAACTTTTTTTTATGGCCAATACATTGCATTTAAGGCTTCAAAATGGGGACATTTGATTTTTAAAGTTCTAGCCCCATAGACTTGCATTGAGTTTGAGTTCAAATTCGAACCGAACAGGGGGATGTTCGGCCCATCACTACTCCATAAGAGAGCAGTGCATGTATGGATTGGTCCATGTATGTCTAACTTTAATGCAAAACTCTAGGCAGATATAAAATAACTAAAATACTGTAAATACAGTTATTTATATACTTAAAGAGGATGTTTAGCTATATCTTTAAAATATATTTTTAACCACTTCCCAATGACATGTATTTCAGGTAAATACATGTCATCCGCTGGAAGTGGTTATACCACGAACACGGCTACTACTGCACTGGTACTGGCAGCAGACGATTGCTATTTAAATACAAGCGAGCCGGCGTCTGTACAGGTGATCTCTCCCCCGATCACTGGACCTGGAAGTGATGTGCATTACATCACTTCCGGTGTCACTGTGCACGTTCTCTGGCTCTTAGAGCCAGAAGAAGATGCTGATGAAGGAGATCTCAGTAGGTGTAATAATGGGGGGACATTTATTATGTGGGGACATTTATTACACCTACTGAGTCAGTAGGTATAATAAATGTCCCCCACGCAAGTAGTCCGTATGAAGGGTTGTGCCCTATCATCAGTAGTACTGACCAATAAGGCAGGGATGTTTATTACTTCTACTGACAAATGGCATAGGGACATTTATTACTCCTACTGATAACTGATGTAGGCATGTTTATTAGAGGTGCACCGAAATGAAAATGTCAAAACCGAAACAAAAAAACGAAATGAAAAAAACAATGTCAGGCCGAAACCGAAAATTGTTTTTATTCTAACTTTTTCTAACATTTTATTTTTATTTATTTTTCATAAACTTTTTAAATTTTTTTCATATTTTATTTATTTATTCATTTTTATTAAATATTTGTATTTTTACTTTACTTCGAGGGGCTTTGGGGAAATTTTTGGCGTCTACACAGATCCCTGATATTTCCCTTTTCTGTATCCCCAGTTATCAATGAACAGGAATCCTCTATGAGTGTTCCTGTTCATTCATAACATGAGGACATTGTGTGTTTACTATAACCACAATCATGAATGAACAGGAAGTGATGTAGTTGACTTCCCATTCATTCATAATTGAGGATATAGTAAACATACTCTGTCCTCAATTATCTGCAAACACTCAGCGATCACTGATCACTGGCTGCTTGTACCGCTCTCCAACCTGACAGCTGTGATAGGAGGCTGAGTGAGCGGAACAAGGTCACTGGAAACCC